TGTTACCACGGAAGGCTGGGAGAATACCTGGGATCTGGTCAGTCAGCTGAGACCATACTGTTATTCATAAGCGATGTTGTCACTGGGTTGTATTAATTTTGGTGACCTGTACTTCCACTGGAGTAATGGTGACATTGGGCCTGATATATGGTCAAGGACCATATCTGTGTCATTGGTCCTCCTGAAGCTGGGGTCTGTGTTGATATTGATGCACTCTGTTTCCACGGGGGGTTATAGGAAACATTTGTATGAAAATCCAAGGACTGGACTTTGCCAGTCCCACCCTTCCCTGGCCTTGCAATACTTGGCCCTGCTCCTCTTTGGACACTGCACCGGGAGAGCTGGCCTGTGTACTTGGGAGAGATGGTTCCACCCATCACCATGGAAGTGGGACAGTTGGCACTAATCATGTGAGACTCAGAGATGTGGCTCTTCTGGTCACCTGAGAGTGACAATCCCATTGGTCTGGACTGGACATCTCAACTACCACCCAGACTCACACCTTGTGCCTTAGGGTTGGTCTATCCTAACATCTACCCCATGTATGACCTTCTGACTTTGAAAAGAGATGGATCCTAAAGAATGATAGATGTAGGATTCTCATGACTCAGGGCTACAGCAAGATATCCCAAAGGAGTTTAAGTCAAGCACAAATGATATTGGTGTACCAGAGGCCTTGAACCAGACCAAAGTCTCATTGCAATGAAGACTTGTGGGAAGGGCTAATGGGACACACGGGTATCCTGTGTGACACACCACAGCTCGCAATGCCAACAGGAAGAATGAGGAATTGCTGGAGAAATGGGGAAGACTGAAGAGTGAAATTTATCCTTTGTTCTCTTCTGCTTTTAACTTAATTTTTGGGAGTTTTCTTTTTTTTGCAGGGAGGTTGTAGGGTGAGGGATGGATATGGAGGGACTGGGAGGTGAGATTGTCATGTAGGATATGAAATTACCAAATAATCAATAAAGGATTATTTTTGCAGAAAATACTTTTCATCATTAGTACTAGTTCTCTGAGAGTTTACTTAGTCTTTATGTATTTTTTAGTTAATTAAACTGTGGAACATTCCTTTATACAATGTGAACATATGTCACTATGAGTGGTTTAATAAGGAAGCTGCCTGGCCTACAGCTAGGGAGGATAGAGTAGTGAGATGACCAGACAAAGATAATTTGGGGAAGAAGGAGCAGAAGTCTGAGATGTTGACAGCCAGACTCAGAAGAAGCAACTTGAAAAGTACATAAATGATATAAATGAGCCTGGGGCAGCACATAGATTATTAGAAATTGGCTAACTTAAGTTGTAAGCTAATTAAAAACAAGTCTAAAGTATCAGCTGAGCATTTATAATTAATACCAAGTTGCTATGGTTATGGGCATGGTATGGTTATGTTTGGAAACTGTCTGGCAAGACAGAAAAGTCCACCTACAAAGAACTAACATGATTTCATATCTCCAGAAAAATATGTGGGCTGGGAATACTTTCTTTTCCTATTTTCAACTGTGTTCATACCAAGCAAAACTAACTTATCTTTTAAATCATGAAATACTTTCCAAAAAACTTTTTTTTTGATTTTGTTTTTCGAGACAGTTTTTCTCTGTAGCTTTGGTGCCTGTCCCGGAACTAGCTCTTATAAGCAAGATCATCAACTTGTTTATTAACACTCATTTTATGCTTTGATACACTGTGCAAATATTATCAAGTCTGCCCATTTCTAGACAGTTCCCCATATTGCAAGACTTACCTTAAAATCATCCACCTAAGACTTCTCAAAGAATTACAAATAAACTTTCAAATTAACCCATTTTGATACATTACTAACACACTGTCAAGATGTTTTTATTGCAGTAAGTCTAAAAATGTAAACCACCTTGATTCACATGGATTTCTGGTAGTCTTTTAGAGAAAATGTTTAGCAAAATGTTCAAGCAGAACTTCTGAGTGATATTTGTTGTATGTTTGCTTATATTTTGGCATTCCATTGGGATTTGAGGATCCAGAAATAAATATGAGTCCTTGGTTTTCCAAGACGTGGATCCTAGAATAAATCATTTTGGATATGATGGATTTGTTAACCAAGTACTACTTTGCATTTTCCTTTTCTTTCATTATGGACACAATCCACATTGAGAAGTATTTCAGCTTTAAAACTATTTACTATTAAGGATCTCAGGCACACTAATTCACAAGACTATATATGTTAATGAATTTTCATCAGCATGATGAAATTCAAACAAAGAACAAAACACACATTTAGGCTTATACTTTCATTGTTACTTAGCTGGGCAGTTTGGAGTTCATAGTGAAAGTATTATGTTGAAGAAAGAAAGCTACTTATCTCATAATAGTCAGGAATTACCAAAATAAAGAAAGAATGGGCTTCAATCATTTCAAAAGCATGCCTCTGGTGACCCTTAAATGAGCATCATTTTCTAAAGGTGTCATTATCTCAATAGAACTATTTTGTAGTAACCTAGCCTGAATCACAGGAACACTAGGTAATATCTAAAATTCAAATATTAAGAGAGAGCTACACAGTTTTAGACATACTTGGCTTTATGCTATAGTTCATGGCCATAGAATGGCACATACTTGATGGGTCTGTAATGGATAACCCAGTCTCAGTAGCATTAAATTTTATCCAACTGATCAAATGTCATCAAGCTTGAGTCTATAAATTTTTATGGTAGATCCAAAAGTGTAGTATTTTAGAAAAACTGTACAATAAGACTCAGATTGTTATTGTTTTTACAGAAAAGTTAATGGTTCCTACATTTCAACACAGTTTTACTCAGTACTTAAAATAGTTAATCAGTCATAAATTTTAGACTTGAATTTATTCCTGTAATATATTCTAATTAACTGTAAGTGGAATAAATACCAGTTTTAAAGGCAGAACTAACTTCTTTCTAGTTCAAACTAGTGTGTTATATATCTAAAGAAAACATTAGCCTAAAAATGTTAAAAGCACTAAAGACAAAAACAAGTTTTATTCCTCTCACTGTCATAATATCTGCCTAAGATGTCAAAAGATGATTGCTGTAGAAGAAAGTTTTCCTGAAAATTATATATTTGATTAGATCTATGACATTTTCTTTGAAGATGCAATTCTACTCTAGTTAAATGTTAATTTCTGCGTAATTAAATGACAACTTAATGTCTTATATTTGGTATACTACACTCATTTATCTTCATTCCACATAGTTATAATTGATTTCATAATATTGAAAACTGTATTGTGATGTTCTAATTGAGAAAAAAATGACAGAAAATTTAAATAAGTTGCATTAAGTAGTCACATGTCTACTTCGAATTGAAGTCCATCTAGAATCAAAGTTGTTTTAAGTCTGTATCTAATGTTCTTCCTTCAAGTTAAGATATGGAAAACCACTTACTAAGAAAGGCATAGCAAAATTAAGACTGGTAGTCTATGGTAAGAATATAACAAAAGGTAATAATATATCCTTCACCTGAAATTGTCAATAATAATTTTTGTCATGATATCAGGGTTATCTCCTTGTGCTCATACTGTTCACCTTCCAGACATGCTTCTACTTTGAGGGAAGACAACACAGTAATCAGCACTTTCCATACCATTAAAATGATTAAGTGTAGAAATTTAAAAGTTGAATATGATGATAATAATCGAAAAAATTAGATTATTAAAAGATTTAGGAAAATCATTTTCAGAATACATATTGACAAACTAAAACTTTCCACTCGGTCAAAGAAGATAACTATGATTTTTAACACAGAATATTCTCAAAAGATAATACATATGTCATCAAATACAGAGAAATTTTAGTTGTAAAATCTCAGTTTCACTGCTTTATTATCTTAGAAATTTCAACACCAAATCTGTACTTCAAAATCTGCTTCAAATAGATTATTACCACCCCATGGAAAACCAATTTTGGATGTAGATTGTATAAATAGACATATACGTGTTCTATATGCAATTATTTAATATAATCATATATAATATTTTAAGACAAATATCTAAATATTTGCCTGTTCACACACGTAGTTGTAATATTGAGAGGGTGAGTTAGAAGAAAAGACTATCAATACATGTATTTTTTTCTTTTGATTCTAGCCAGGCATTTGGTACTAGCTGCTTTAATCTTTAAGTTTGTCAGCATAACATTTGCATTCACATATGTTACTATAAAATCAATAAAACCTGCCATTTCCAGAATTTCTATCACTGGCAAAAGTTTTTTTTCTGAGATTTTTACTTGAGTATTTTTATTTTACTTTGCATGTGAGTTGTGTGGCAAGAATTTTATTGAGCTGTTGCAATACACGTGACTACTCACTCCATAGTGAGTCGATGACAAACTAAAGTATGGATACTATCAAAGTTTACCTTAATAAATTGCTAAGTTTTATTGGAGTTACTTCCAGAAATTCAGAGAAAGTTTTCCTCACAAGATCAGAAATGATTTAAAAGCAACTGCATCATCAAAGCTCATCCAAGCACAAGTGACAGTTCATGAAAAGAGGCTAATTGGAGCAAACTGTACATCCAGTAGGCAGTTTAACAGGTTGGAGAATGTCCTTTCCAATGTACTCAGTTGGTTTAAACCTCTTCCAGGGAGCTCAGCTTGGTTTCTCTTTCATCTAGGCAGGTGGTCTGGTCTCAGAATCTACTTTCCTCTTTATATGGTTATTCTTGAGAAGAGAGAATAAAGAATCCCATCAGTTTCAGGAATTTCTGGAATTTATTTTGAGTTATTTATCTCCTGGCTTAACGAGCTTCCCTAAAGGATGGGATGTTTCAGTCTTGGAAGAAATAGGTATACAAAAACATGATCTCATTCACACATGCACATATATCACAGCTCACATATGGAGGACAGAGGACAACTCATGGAGATTTATTTTCTCCAAATAAGTACTAGGGAACCAAAACAGACTTGGTGACAGGCTTCTTTACCAGCTAAATCATCTTTTGTATTCCAACAAATTGACACCCATGTGGCCATTGTCCATACCATTGCCAGTCCTTATCCAGGTTGCCATGGCTTTCTTCCATTCCTTCGAAGCCGAACTGCATTCCAGTAGCTGAACTACTGCTCTGGCATGCAGCTGCACATGTTTTGGCTGTCCCCCCCATGCCGCAGCAAATTGACAATTTCTAGCTAGCCCTTGTTCGCATGGTTTGATCCCACCCACTAAGTGACTAACTTACTGCTGCCCATGGCTTTTTGCCAAAACTCCTTAATGGCTTCTCTGGTATCTCCCAGGCCTGCTCTGATCAGGTCCAACTCTGACTCTGGGAGCAGGGCTGTTCCAGCTTGTGTTCCCACTTCAGATCTGCAAATGTATGGCCTGAGCTCTGACCAGTAACCTTGCATTTAGTGACTGCCTGTAATCTCTGGGCTCCTTGATATTCTGCTCAACTCAAACTTTCTCCATATATGGATATACTGCTCTTAAGTAATTAACTAAATTTTGTAATTATTATGTCTTAGGAAATTCAGGTATTGATCTAAGACCTGTATTACTGTCACAACTTTGATACCTGCTGACCAATAAAGATTATTACAACTACAACAATTTTCTGAAAATTATAACAGAGTTAGTTTGGTTAATAAATAAATTTCAAAATTATAAACCAACCTCAATATAATTGCAGACAATATCACCATCCAAGAATTTAACAACATTTTTTACTACTATGGATGGGATTCTTCAATAGTTATATGGGCTACCTTATACATATAGTTTTGTGATTTAATATTTAGCATTGTTTTTCATGTTATTCATAAAGAAATTGTTTGATAACAGGGTCAAGAATGAGAAACTTTTAGGAAAAATACAGTCTTTAACTGGAAGGATTCACACTATTTTAAAGGATAATCGTGATTTGACAGGCATAATTCAATCCATGTCAATGGGTTATGAAACCTCACAAAAGAGTACTGATAGATTATCTGAGAAAATTCATTCTGTTGAAATTGACAATAAAAGTCTGTTAAAAAGTTATGATAAGATAGCAGATAGAACACCCCTCAAGGAAGGCAATATATATGCCATCCAAATAATATCTAAAAATGGGAAGATACCATTAATGGAAAAATTTAAAACCTTGGAATCACATGTGCAGAATGAGAACCAGAAATTGTTTGATTTGATGACATTAGAAATATTCACAGGTCAAGAGATGCATGCTTTACAAAAAAAAAAAACAAAACAAAAAAAAAAAAACCAAAACAATGATAAACAAATTTTAATCAGTTCAGGAACTTGGCAGAACTGATAAGCAAGAAGAGGTGTTAACAAAGGATTTAGACAAACCCCCTCCCCCAGCTCCTTCTGCAGGGCTGTCTTTCTTTCGCACGACCCAGCATCCCCAGCACCCCTCCCCAACCCTGCCCTGCTGTATGCTAGGACCAGTGCTCAACTACAGTCTTAAGCTCCTAAACTAAGGCGACCCACCCAGAGCGGTGAGTGCCTGCCAGCTGGGCAGGCCTCAGGGTCCCCAGTAAGGGAGACGGGCACCTTCAGCTCCGGCACCAGGCTTCCTGCGCGCTCCTGGATACCACCCCCCTGCTCCATTCATCCTGTTGGCCCTGGATCATTGGGCTACCAGCGGCCCTGTTTAGTTGCTGAGGAATCCCATCAGGACGGTTGCGGAGGAATCCCATCTGGACAGGAAAGGTTCCTGCTTCTACACTGAAGAGATATACCCTGAGAGTCAATCACAGCAAAGACTGGACCAAGAGACCAGGCCTCTCCTGGCTCCATTTGAAGGAAGAGATGGGAAGGCGCCAATCCAAGAATTCCTCCAACAATCTGAAAGGCAACATGACACCACCAGAAACCAGGGATCTCGAAATAAGAAGAATTGTACACCCTACTCCTGAAGAAATAGAAGAAATCGACTCAAAAGTGAACTATATGAAAATAATAGAGGACCTTAAACAGGAGGTGAAAAACTGCCATAAACAATTAGAGATTACAAACAAAAATGTAGAGGAAATGAATAAATTGCTCAAAGACACGCAAGAAAACCAAGAGAAACAAGAAAAAGCAATCAAACAGGTTAGGGAAGCGGTTCAAGACATGAAGAATGAAATGGAAGCAATGAAGAAAGCACAAACCGAGGGAAGAATGGAGATGGAAAATCTGGGTAAACGAACAGGAATGACAGAAACAAGTACTAACAACAGATTACAAGAGATAGAAGAGAGAATATCAGACACTGAAGATACCATAGAAAAAATAAACACACTGATCAAAGAAAACAGCAAAACCAACAAATTCTCATCACAAAACATTCAGGAAATTTGGGACACAATAAAAAGACCAAACCTAAAAATAATTGGAGTAGAAGAAGGAGAAGAAGTGCAACTCAACGGTACAGATAATATACTTAATAAAATTATAGAAGAAAACTTTCCCAACCTGAAGAAAGAGGTACCAATGAAGGTTCAAGAAGCATACAGAACACCAAATAGGCTGGATCAAAAAAAAAAAAAATCCCCTCGCCATATAATAATCAAAACACAAAATATACAGAATAAAGAAAGAATATTAAGAGCCACAAAGGAAAAAGGCCAAGTTACTTATAAAGGTAAACCTATCAGACTTACACCTGACTTCTCTATGGAAACCATGAAAGCCAGAAGGTCCTGGATAGATGTACTGCAAAAACTAAGAGATCATGGATGCAAGCCCAGACTACTATATCCAGCCAAGCTTTCGTTCACTATAAATGGAGAAAACAAAATTTTCCAGGATAAAAACAAATTCAAACAATACGTAGCCACAAATCCAGCCTTACAGAAAATTATAGAAGGAAAATCAGTAACCAAGGAGTCCAACAATGCCCACAATAACTCAGTCATCTAGAGACCTTTCACCAGCGCAACTCAAAGAAGGGAAACACACAAACCCTACTACTAAAAAAGTGACTGGAGTTAACAACCACTGGTCATTAATATCACTTAATGTCAATGGGCTCAACTCACCTATAAAAAGGCACAGGCTAAGAGATTGGATAAGAAAACAGGATCCAACATTCTGCTGTTTACAAGAAACACACCTCAACCACAAAGACAGGCACCTACTCAGAGTAAAGGGCTGGGAAAAGGCTTATCAAGCAAATGGTCCTAAGAAACAAGCAGGTGTGGCCATAATAATCTCTAACAAATTTGACTTCAAACTTAAATCAATCAGAAGAGATGGAGAGGGACATTATATACTCATAACAGGAACAATTCATCAGGATGAAGTCTCAATCCTGAATATCTATGCCCCGAATATAAAAGCGCCCACGTATGTAAAAGAAACATTACTAAAACTCAAGGCACCCATCAAACCACACACACTAACAGTAGGAGACTTCAACACTCCTCTCTCACCAATGGACAGGTCAATCAAACAGAAACCTAACAGAGAAATTAGAGAATTAATGGAAGTAATGAAGCAAATGGACTTAACAGACATCTATAGATTATTCCACCCGAAGAGGAAAGAATATACCTTCTTCTCTGCAGCTCATGGAACCTTCTCGAAAATTCACCACATACTCGGTAACAAAGCTAACTTACACAGTTACAAAAAAATATTAGTAACCACCTGTGTCTTATCAGATCACCATGGATTAAAGTTAGAATTCAACAACAATGCTACCCCCAGAAAGCCTACAAACTCATGGAAACTGAACAGTCAACTTCTGAACCATACCTGGATTAAGGAAGAAATAAAGAAAGAAATTAAAGTCTTCCTTGAATTTAATGAAAATAAAGAAACAACATACTCGAACTTATGGGACACTATGAAAGCAGTGCTAAAAGGAAAGTTCATCGCACTAAGTGCCCACTTAAAGAAAACAGAGAAAGCACATATTGAAGACTTAACAGCCCACCTGAAAGCTCTAGAAAAAAAAGAAGCAGACTCACCTAGGAGGAGTAGAAGATTGGAAATTATCAAACTGAGGGCTGAAATCAACAAAATAGAAACACAGAAAACAATCCAAAGAATCAATGAAACAAAAAGCTGGTTCCTGGAGAAAATCAACAAGATTGATAAACCCCTATCCAAACTAATCAAACGGCAGAGAGAGAATATGCAAATTAATAAGATCAGAAATGAAAAGGGGGACATAACCACAGACACAGAGGAAATTCAGAGAATCATCAGATCATACTACAAAAGCCTGTATAACACCAAACTGGAAAATGTAAAAGAAATGGACACTTTTTTAGATAAATACCATATACCAAAGTTACACCAGGACCAGGTGAACAATCTAAACAGACCTGTTGGTCGCGAAGAATTAGAAGCTGTTATCAAAAACCTCCCTACCAAAAAAAGCCCAGGACCAGATGGTTTCAATGCGGAATTCTACCAGAACTTCCAAGAAGAGCTAATACCCATACTCCTTAATGTATTCCACAATATAGAAACAGAAGGGTCATTACCTAATTCCTTTTATGAAGCTACAGTTACTCTGATACCAAAACCACACAAAGACTCAACCAGGAAAGAGAATTACAGGCCAATCTCACTCATGAACATCGACGCAAAAATCCTCAACAAAATACTGGCAAACCGAATCCAAGAACACATTAGGAAAATTATCCACTATGATCAAGTAGGCTTCATCCCAGGGATGCAGGGCTGGTTCAACATACGAAAATCTATCAATGTAATCTAGCATATAAATAAACTGAAAGAACAAAACCATATGATCATTTCATTAGATGCTGAAAAAGCATTTGACAAAATTCAACATCCATTTATGTTAAAAGTCTTGGAGAGATTAGGGATACAAGGGTCATACCTAAATATAATAAATGCTATATACAGCAAGCCGACAGCTAACATCAAATTAAACGGAGAGAAACTCAAAGCCATCCCGCTTAACTCAGGAACACGACAAGGATGTCCACTCTCTCCATACCTCTTCAATATAGTACTTGAAGTTCTAGCAATAGCAATAAGACAACATAATGGGATCAAGGGGATTCGAATTGGAAAGGAAGAAGTTAAACTTTCGTTATTCGCAGATGATATGATAGTGTACTTAAGCGACCCCCAAAACTCCACCAAAGAACTTTTACAGCTGATAAACAGCTTTAGTAATGTGGCAGGATACAAGATCAA